GTGAAACCTCAGACTCAAGGTCTAGCAAAAGATGCTTGGGAAATCCCTCGAGAATCTTTACGACTAGAGGTTAAACTAGGACAAGGATGTTTTGGTGAAGTATGGATGGGTAAGAAGCCTGAACTTTTGTTTTCTGTCATTGTTTAGCCATAGGATAAAGTGCCACAATTAATGATAACATGTTTAAGTATTTAAGGTAACTGCTGGTCACTGAATTTTGCTTTAAACTTGCTTAAAATATAAATTAAAATAGTAAAATGCATTGTTTTTTGTTTTTTTTTTTTTTTAGGAACATGGAATGGAACCACAAAAGTAGCAATCAAAACACTAAAACCAGGTACAATGATGCCAGAAGCTTTTCTTCAAGAAGCTCAGATAATGAAAAAGTTAAGACATGACAAACTTGTTCCACTTTATGCTGTTGTTTCTGAAGAGCCAATTTACATTGTCACTGAATTTATGTCAAAAGGTATGTGTATATTAGTACCTCAGAAGGTATTCATGTTGATAAACTTTTTAAAAAACAAGTCTTCATTTCTATTTTTTGCATATAGGCTTTTATTGTATAGTGTTTTCTAATTCAAGATTTTTATGTAGATATTTGAAAAGAAGAAATCTAACATTTTGTTTAATGGAACAGTTAGTGATTAGTTGAAGTTATTCCAGAAGATAGTATAAACTTTAAAAGGAAAATTAGGTAGCCTGAATTTATTTTGAAAGTAGGTTTGACTAAAGGAAATAAAATAGCTAGGAAAGTGAAAAATAGAAAAAAAAAAGGTGTTTATACAAATTGAATTAAAATGATAAAATCAATAAGATACATCTTCAGTACTAAAGCAAAGAAATAAGGTAAAGTTAAAATAAATAAATTAGTCAGGCATGGTGGCTCACGCCTGTAGTCCCAGCTACTCAGGAGGCTGAGGCAGGAGGGTCGCTTGAGCCCAGGAGTTTGAGGTTGCTGTGAGCTAGGCTGATACCACGGCACTCTAGCCTGGCAACAGAGCAAGACTCTGTCTCAAAAAAAAAAAAAAAAATTTATTGGGTCCATATTTTGAGAAAGATATAGTAAATAAGTATTCATTTTCTCCCTAGGTGCTTATTCCCTTTCCATTCGTGATTGGGATGAGGTAAGAGGTGACAATGTGAAACACTACAAAATTAGAAAACTAGACAATGGTGGATACTATATCACAACCAGAGCACAATTTGATACTCTGCAGAAATTGGTGAAACACTACACAGGTAGGTGAATATTTCAGAGATAAAAGTTACTTCCTTGTGTTCTATTTTATGAGGACAAAATCTGTCTTCATTTCTCTTTAGGTTTAACACACTTCTTTACACACAGTGCATACCCAATAAATGCCTGCTGTATTCTATTTTACAATGAGGAACCGGATAATACTTAGTACTTGAATTGGGTTCTTGAATATAATATGCCCAAATCAGACTATCATCATTTAAGTCCTTTTATCTCATTGGTATAGTGTTTACATTGGAGTTCCATTTCATAACATATAAATACCAAGATAGATTATGGAAATAAATAATCATAAAAGCAAATATTTTATTTATGGACATTTACTATATTGGTAAAACTAAACACTTAACATAAAAATCTATGTCAGATTTTTTTGGATTACCTTCTCCTGCATGGGCTGGATCACCTGAAATTTCCTAAAGTATAAATCCAGTGAAATTTGGTCTAAAGATACATTTTCCTTATCCTGGAAAATTAACCTATAGCAACTATAGACATTCTTGTCTTTCAAGGACCTCTGAAAGGTATTTAATATTAGTCTTCTGTCTCAAAAATTTTCTGTCTCAAAAATTTTCATTATGAATGAATGAATCTGAAAGTCTTTTAAATGATTAATACCAAGGGAGGGGAAGTTCCATGGTAATTTCTTCTTCAATGACAGCTAGCTGCAAACTGAGTCTATCAAGTCAGCCAGCAGTCTTGACATTGATCAAACATGCCATCAAGCAGTGGTATCACTTGTAATTGCCTTTGTTAAAATGAGAATTTGTGTGGTTGCTTAGAGTAGGAGGGACGGTGTCTCATTTACAATAAGAAAGATTGTATAAGCAAGGATTCACAAGTCAAGCCATTGTGAATCTGGGGTTACCAGCCTTTGTGTCTCCCTTATTTAAAAACCAGTCTCCCAAATGAAGTTTTTTCCAGATTTTTGGTATGCCTCTTAAAAATTAGTTGTTATTGACATAATAATTAGTGACAGCATTAACTTTGGGAATAAATAAAGCTCAGTGGCCAAAAGCAGAACTTAGGAGGCAGACATTCCTGGGGTTGAATCCCATCTCCACCACTTGCTAACTGTGGGACCTTGGAAAAGTTGTATAAGTTTTCTAAGCTTCATTTATATGAGATATTTGTAAAATGCTGAATTAGCACAATAACTGGAATGTAAGTATTTAATAAATAATAACTTTAAATTGTATTGTAAAGTTTCACTTATATATACTTTATTTGCTTCTTATAGACAATTTCCTTTTTGTGGCTGGGTGCAGTGGCTCATGCCCGTAATCCTAGCACTCTGGGTGGCCGAGGCAGGAGGATTGCTTGAGCTCAGGAGTTCAAGACCAGCCTGAGCAAGAACAAGACCCTGTCTCTACTAAAAATAGAAAAAATTAGCTGGGTGTGGTGGTACATGCCTG